AGGAAGTGAACTGTGATACTGGGCATGGCTTGAGCATATATTAACCCTCAAAGCTCACCTCCACAGTGACACACTTCCTCTAACAAGGCCATACCTACTCCAGCAAGGTCACACCTCCTAAAAGTGCCACTCCATATCAGCTTATAGGGGCAATTACATTCAAACTACCACACTCTCCTTAATTCTATATATTTCAGTTTTTGTCACTTTACCCAAGTCAATCATTTATTAATAGCCCAAGACATCATTTATTTCAAAGAGTTCATAATTTATTAAGATAGGGAAGAAAGGATGAATACCACCTACATTTTTACTAACTTTTTAAAAGTAAAGACCATTGTATCATTCTATATTATGTTATGATGATAAAACCTCTGAGGCTGGATAACTTACAAAGAAGACAGATTCGTTTTTTTTTGCTCATGGTTCTAATCAGAGGTTAAGATCCTGTGTCTATCAGTGGCCTTTTCTTTTCTTTTACAGCCCTTGGTGACATAGGAGGATCACAAGGCAAGAGACAAAGTTGTAACACACATGTGCTCACGCACACACACACACACACATACACACACACACACACACACACACACACACACACACACATGAGAGAGAGAGAGAGAGAGAGAGAGAGAACACTTTTCTTCTTATTCTTTTTTAAAAATAGTTTATTTTAACTTTATTTTATGTGCATTGGTGTGAAGGTGCCACATCCTGGGGAACTGGAGTTACAGACAATTGTGAGCTGCTATGTGGATGCTGGGAATTGAACCCCGGTCCTCTGGAAGTGCAGCCATTGCTCTTCACTCTTGAGCCATCTCTCCAGCCCTTTTCTTCCTATTCTTATAAAGCTGCTGGAATTCACCACTGGTGGCCCATCCTGTTGATCTTGTCTACTACTTTTCACCTTCACAAAGGCATCAGGTCGACTTTCTCACTTTCTCCACTTGGTGTGGCTCATAGGGATTCAATTTCAACACACGAACCCTTGAAAGACACACTTAACTACACCCAGGCTACAATGCAGAAATCATGGTATTGAAAACCTTGAGGATCAAAAAAAAATTCTCTATGTTCTCCTTTGCATAAGAGCTATGCATATGTGACTTTGGATTTATGATGAGTCCTGGGTGAAGCAGGTACATGATGAAAGAAATGTCCTTGGTCCTGGCAAAAAGGAGTCTACTGTCTCTATCCCAGTGGATTTAGGTAATTGAAGGGTACACATCTGAGAATCAGTGTCAAGTTAGGTCATTCTTTTCTGAGCCCAAGTGAGATGGGTTATATCATAAAATTCAGGGTGAAGTAAAAAATGGAGCAGGGTTTTCCTTGTTTTCTGTTGGGAACCTAGGGCAGACAGCCTTAAGGTTTGGTACCAGTGTTGAGGAGATGGTCACAGTGGTGGTGAGAGGCTGGCAGGCAAAAATATAGAATGAGAATTTTGGAGGCCACATGTATGAGGCGGGAGCTTTAGGAATTCCTCACACTGCATGAAGAATGAGGACAGCAGGTGGTCCTGGCTGCAGAGTTGCCATAGTGGGGTTCATTCACAGGAAGTGACAGCTCCTTGTAAGCTGAGGCAGTGATGTAGATAGGTTAGGGATGTTCACAGCACCTGGGACAGGTGGGGCAGCTCAGATGAGGGTTTGTGTGTCATTTTTACATTTGGAGATAAAGCCAGCCACAGGCTTATTCAGTGGCTTTCTCCCAGTAACCAGGTGAGACCCATGATTGACAACAGGCCACTCTCAGGATCTGAAGAGGAAAAGTGTGTTTCAGGTTTTCCTGCTAAAGTGAACTAAGATACATCCTGCTAAATAGACCCCTAGGGGATGGTCAGGAAACCAGACAGCTCTGCCAGAGGTGAACTTGAGGAGTCAGCAGTATAAATAGTTCCAAGGTATCAGTCTTCTGTGAGAATCATTTTAGTCAGCTACTTGAGAGCCTAACCCTCCTCATCAACATAGGCATGCTGACTGAGGCAAGTAACAGGTCTGGAAGCTGGTTCTTATATAAGAACTTAAGTGCCAATTTTTGACTCCTTTATTCAATGCTGTGATGCAGTTTTGTTTGAATCAGTGATAAAAACATTTGGTAAACTCCACGCCTTAAAAAAAAAAAAAAGTATCTTTGTTACTACTGAAACTTGAACTATGCGTGGCATACCCCAAGTTCTTTGGCTAAGTCCTTCACATAACTCACGTATCTTTGTTACTACTGAAACTTGAATTATGCGTGGCATACCCCAAGTTCTTTGGCTAAGTCCTTCACATAACTCACAGGAGGTGTGTGCAAGGCAAGGTCAAGTACACATTCTCTATCCCTGAGCCAGAGGAAATAGTTGACCTACAAGGGTGGAAGTCAGGACCTTTGGCTCATTGGTCCCTTACATTGCCCCAGATCTGAACAAGCACAGACTATTTGAGAATGAAACATTGTTTTAAAAAGTACTCTTGTTATCAACTACATGTCAGATTCTAGATTCTAGAATCTACAATTCTATGCAGTTTGTAAACCTCCAGGTGACCTAAACATTCTGTGGAGGGTGGTAAAGTTGGGGTGGAGACTATGAAGACTAAAATGAGAACCCTCTGTTTTCTTTCTCCTCCAGAAACCTTTTCCCTACCAAAGAGTGAGGCCTTCCGAGGAGCACTTAGGATTTTTCCAGAGTCAGCTCACTTTTCCTGCTGCCCCTAACTCTGTTGAAAGGCAGCCCCTCCCAGAGCCCTGGAAACGATGGACTGGCTTCTCTACAGTCTGCAAGCATTCAGAGGGATATGCCCCTTGCTGAGAAAAAGTGACGCTGGGGGGCGGGGGAATCAATCTACTGTCAAGAAAGTTTCACTTAAATATGGATGCCAATTAATTTAATTTATATGTCTTCAGGAAAAATGCCATTTTATTATACATGCCCTGGAAGGATGCCAGGGGACCAAGTTAATAAATTACACCTCTACTGACATAATATGGAATCGAAGACTAATCAGATACTTATTAAGTGCCCACCTGGGTTTGTGGTTCTACCCTGCAGAAACCCAACTAACACAGGGTCTGTCCAGCTGGCCTGTCCCTACAAGGGTGATCATCTGGTCCCCATCCTTACTCTTATCCACCTGTCTCCTAGCCTTGGGAATGTCTCTTGAGAGTAACTGGAAATGTGAATAATCGGAGGCTTTTGACAACCAGGGGTTGTGAATGGGTCCATTTAACAAGAAGGGAATGAATGATGGGTAACTGTAAATAATCTGCTCAAATCAATCAGGGAATAGGCATATTCTGTTTCAGCAGGAAGCTTGCTCTGGTGATTCTACTGTAGATTCAGATCAGCTGATGAGGGTACAAAGTGCCCACCAATTACAGAGGTCCAACCCCATGCCAGGTTATATGCTTTAGCCTAGATTTTTGCAGCAGTCCTTCAAGGGAGGCATTTTTCTTAAGAACTTTCTATATGAGCCTCTACATTACTCCCTCCCTTCCCTTTTCTCCCTCCAACTCTTGCTATGCCTCCTCCATAAGTTCACAATCTCTTCAAGTATTATTGTCACATGAATACATAACCTATGGAATCCATTTTGCTTTGGCTGGTTGTGTGTGTGTGTGTGTGTGTCTCACTTGGGATTAGGCAACTTAAGTGGGAGTTCATCCATGGAGGAAACTGATTCTCTCTTTCAGTGGACATTGACCACCTGTAGCTCTCCTAGGGGAGGGACCATGTGGGACTTCCCCTGGCCACATTGGCATGTCCAACTGGTGGTGTCATCATGTTGGTCTTATTCAGATGACTGTTGAGAGTTCATGAATCCATTTTCCCTGTCATGCTTAGGGGACAGTACCTAACAGCCACTGTCCCGAACCTTTGGCTCTTACAATTCTGCCTCATCTTCTGCCATATTCTACGGTAGGGCTTATTTTATTCTACCCTCCTCGTTTGGAGGATTGCCTTCAGAAGGTACAGGGAAGTGAGCTGACATGCTCTTGCTCAAGGTCAGGAGAGGTACAGGCAAACAACCTCGACAGCTTCACAGTCTGTCTGTTCCACTGCTCAGTTTCCTATGGTCTTGGACCAGGGTCATCACTGTCTCCATGGAGAATGAGCTGATGGTTTCCCATTTCTGAAGGCGCTGTCACAACGGACATTTCAATTACAGCACGAAGCATTGTTTGTACTACCTTGGCCGTGGAAGCTCACCCTGTCTTCTCTGGTTTCTTTATAGTCATGGAAGCCTGCCACTCAGTCGCAACAAGTTCTCAAACAGTCATGTAGTGGGTGCAGCCAGTCATCCATTCAGCACTTACTGGACACCCCCCTATGGCCAACCACATAGTGTAAGACGTTACACTAATGAAGAAGACAGATGCAACAACATGGAATTAAAGTTTGGAAGCAAGTGCTATGGAAAGCTAAAGGAAAACATTCATTTTGTTATTTAGTCAGGCATCCATTTCAATTCTATTTATGGAACCTCTACCATGTACTAGGAAGAGATCAACTCTGACATTTGTGGAGGCAGGACAAGAATAGAGAGACATCAATGCTACTGGCCTGCATATGCTGTCCTCCCTCCCCCGATCCTTTCCTTCCCATACTTGAGTCCATCTTACCCCCACGAGGGCCGTTCCTGTGTGTGTTTGGACACTTTCACCGAGCGCCTCTTATAGCCAGGAAGTGGTTTCTGTGAGTAACAGCTGCAGTAAATGTTTGGCTGAGCAGTGCTGGGTTCCAGGGCCCAGGGAGTGGCCCAGAAAGGAGGTGGGATTTAGGTGAACATGCAGTTTTGGTTCCTTCACTCTACCTGAGTCTGGGGACAGAGGACAGTTGGAGTGGTTTAGAAAATGGTTCTGATTCCAGCAGCTTCAGCATTAGAGCATCATTCCCAAGCTCCTTAGGCTCTGGTGTCTGTAGATGCTCACTCGGAACCCAAATCTGTGTTTTCACAAGCTTCCTATGGTGTTTCCGCACACTTTGCTTCAAGGGTGCTGTGTCTAATCCCTTCTTTTTATAGATGACCAGACTGAGGCAGCCAGCTATTCTGGGCAGGGGGAAGAACCTGGTCATGAGGAATTGATTGTACAATACCTCCATGGGGACGAGTTTCCAGGTTCTGAGAGTAATACTTCCTATTTCATGGGACCTTTCTGTACTTTAGTGGTAAATATGAGATACTGCAACTCTCAAAAAAAAAAAAATCCCTTTCAACTAACTCAGGTTTATGAGGGCCTGGAATAAGATTTATAGCAAGTGACCCAGGAAAGAATTTCATTAGGTCACCAGCAAAGGAGTTAAAGGAAAGTTAGTGATAACAAACCACTCCAGAAAAGGACTCAAGGATGGGCTAAGGAACCATTTGTTGTTGTTCTGCTAAAGCCTTTTTATTCACTGCTATTTTAGAAGTGATTTTAAGGAATACTGGTAACAAAGAAGGTTCTGGATAATATGCATCCCGGAGTTCAAAGGAGATAGAAAACTGGCCACAATGCTGAAAAAACTCCAAGATTGCATAGATAGACTTCCACATCTAATATTTTGTTAGTGTTTTTTACTTTGTTTCTGGGTCCAATGCAAATGAGCTCATGGGAACTTCCTTAGTGAAGCCAATCCCTCCCACCCCTAATATTTTAGGGCATCCCTTTGGTGTTTCTTCCTTTCTCTTTAGCATATTTTAGTTCTCAGCCATCTCCAGGTTGTCTTCTCTCTCTCTCTCTCTCTCTCTCTCTCTCTCTCTCTCTCGCTCTCTCTCTCTCTCGCTCTCTCTCTCTCTCGCTCTCTCTCTCTCTCGCTCTCTCTCTCTCTCGCTTTTATAGAGAGAAGAGAGAGAGAGAGAGAGAGAGAGAGAGAGAGAGAGAGAGGCAAACAGAACAAGGTTTGATAAAGGAGACTACAGTACTGATTTATGACTTTTTAAAAAAATGGGGTTGGTAGTAGAACCCAATGGCAGAGGTCATACTCAGCATAAGGCCCTGCATTCCGTCAACAGTGACGCCAGAGAAAGTGTGTGAAAAGACAGAATTGTGATTCTGTTTTACAAGGTCCCTTTACTCAGCTACAATTATCAGCATGTTGCCATCCCATCCTCTCTGGGTGCTGCTCTCTTCTCTCCTCTCTTCCCCTTCCCCCCCTCTGGTGTTTATTAAAGAAAATTCCAGGCATCAGATCATGTAACTCATTTCCTATAGAAATTTCCTGAAGACCACAAGAGAGAATAGGCTGGGAAAGTGATTTCTTAAGATTGGGTTATTCATCAAATAGGAACTTTTTGTTACTATGTGTGTGTGTGTGTGGGGGGGGGGAATGTAACATTCTAAAGCATCTACATGACACAATGGGTAGAAAGTTTTGATCATCTTTCTGTATGACGCTTCCCTAAAGGCTTTGGGGGGGGGGCGTCTCTACAGACTTTCAAATCTTCCTTTGCTATGAAAATAATAACAGAATTCCTGAAATTTCTGGATGTTTGTAAACCTAAAAAGAGGCACATATTGTTCTTAGAGCATTGTTTTTGAAGTTAAAACCTATCAATGTCTGAAGCTTGAGGGGATCTTTTATGAGAAGCAACCCTCACATATTTACCCCTGTCCTAGCCCCTTGGGCTGCTAGTGTAACTTTAAAGCAGTTAGGATCCAGAACTTAGAGAGGAAAGCATGGTACACAGTTGTTTTAATGTTTGTACTTAACAGATTTATGGAGTATCAACTAATTTAGAAGTTTGGTTATTTCCCCTTAGTAAACATCACCCAACTAAATTTGTGTAGAACACACTCTGAATAAGTCAAACAGACAAGGGCTCTAAATGAGGAAATTAATTATAGCTAGTGTCCCAGGGAAAAGAACCCCACTGTGGCACAGAGAAGGTAATTAATGAGAGGGAAGTGCCAACAAATCACTCTTTAAAATATTAACACTATCAAAGAACAGCTGGATAAGGGGGAAACTTGACCCTTGGGGGACTGTTGGAGGCGGCTGTTGCTGCTGTACAGTTTCACACAGTTGTGATGTAATGAAATTCCTCAAATCTTAACTAAGAAAAAAAAAGGTATTAAGTAGTGTGGTTCTGGGAAAGTTATTAAGAGTTAGTGTGTCTTTGAGTCCGGTCATTTTATTATGATCATTGTAGCTCACATTTGCTGTGGCTTCTAACTGACTTCCCCTTTGTTTTCCTGAAAACAAGAAAACCACCCTGCCTCCAAAAAAACTAAAGGTATTTTTCCCCAATCGGAAAGCCTGATAGCAACATTTTCCCCTATATAGATAAAAATCTATTACCTATGGTATTTCTACCAAAATAGTTTCTCCTTATGCTTCAATTAAGTTCTTAGTCAAGAAAATGTACTTTTTTTGATTGTCTAAAAGTAATTTGGCCATCCTTAACAGCTTGTTAACTTACCATTGCCCACCCCCATATCTATCATAGAGCAATAAAGTTTTGCGCAGTGTGTTAAGCACATGGCATGTTTGATATTTAATTCTAAAGTTAAATGATAATCTCGATTTTTAAGATTAGAAGCTAAAAGTAATTCTTTACTCAGAATGGACTTTAATTTGGATACTTAAAAATAAACCGTTTTATTCGGCATTGAAGTTTTTCTGAAAGCCTCTGGGACCATGGGCAGCTGCGGGTGATAAATACTTCTGACTGCATACTCGCTCGCTTGCTCGTGTTGGCTGCGCTCAGACACTTCTTTCCATTTGTTTCATGAGACTTGCTAACATCTAAATCCGTGGCGGTATTCAGAGTCAGAGTGTTTGACAAACCGTATGGCTAAGACGAACGTCCTCACTCGAACCGAACCAATAAACCTGGAGAGGAAACACAGGTTGTAGTAAAAATAAAACCCTGACGTTAGCCCGGGTTTCACATAACTCGGGCTTCACAAGGCTCTCCCTCCGCTGGAGGAGCCGTGCCCCTGCAAACAGCCCACAAGGGACACATCATTTAAATAAATGTGTTTCTTTGCCCGAACAGAAGTTCAGATAGGCTCGATTATCATTAATTCTGCTCTTTTATTTCCTTTGCGGGCGCGAACACTGAAAGCCTGGCCTTTGAAGTGCGGCTGGCGGAGCTGACCCGGGTCCTTCCCGGCGCCGGCTCAGCGGTGCGGGAAGGAGGCGACAGAGGGTGAACTTGTGGAAGCTAGGAGGGGGTGGTGGTGTGTGGGAGTGAGGTGCAGATGTTGGTGACCCTGAAAATCAGGTTGTCGGAACCGAACGAATCCCTAGAATCGGCAGACCAGGAACACACTGAGGCTGTGCAAAAGCCCACAGAACACCTGATGAACGCCAACCTCTACTCTGGATTTTAAATGAAATCGGTGAAACTCAAGCTGTCTGCTCGCGAGCTGGCGTTGGTGAACCAAGGCGGGACCGTAGCCTTTATCGTCGTTCTGCGTGTTTTCCCTGGCTATTTGACAGCTAGGTGAGGGGCGGGGGCCAGGCTCCCTCCGGATCACCGCCAAGTCCCGGGGGAGCGCCGTGGGTGGGGGGCGGCTGGGAGACGCGCGTGAACCTGCGGGCGTCGGGGACTGCACCACGGAGTGTTCGCTGTGATTAGCTCTCGCGGCGACCCCGGAGGGCGGACTCTCCTCACCCGCGTGTCTCCTCCTCCCTCAGCCTTTTTAAGGGACGCCCTGAAGGCAGAGCTGTCAGCCCCCCCAGGTCCTCTGCACTTGGCCGCGGCCAGACTGTCTCTCGCCCGCGTGACTGTCAGGGGCCAGAGCTGAGTTAGCAGCAGGGCCAGGGGA